AAAAAAAAAAAAAAAACACACACTTCACACATACACAGAATTAGTATTTCTAACTGCAACCATGATTCAAAAGAAATACTTACCACATAAGGTAATGCAAATTCTTCACACATTTCTATGGCGATACTGTCTGCTTTTTGAATTCCAACAACACTATCCACTAACAAAAATGTTCTCATCAAGCTGTAAGTATGAAGAAATGAAGATTAATGGCAATATAAAATATACTTATTCATTTATCCCCTCCCCCCAATCCCCACTAGACTAAGAAATCTCCCTCTGAATGATTCTCAAATGAAAATTTAGAAATTTCTTTAGGCAAAAGGAATTCTCAATTCACCAGGAAGTTCATCATATAGTCTAGTAAAGTCTCGATACTGTTTATTTTCAACAACTAAATTCAGTATGTAGGAATTTAAACATCAATAAGCATGTATTAAACGTAAGACACTCTGTCTGGGACTGGATATAAGTGTAAATGAGCCTCTTCCTTCAAGAGCTTAAATTCCAATGGGAGAAAGGGACGTGACTCCAACTATGTTTCCACAGAAATGTTTAAGTTTCTTAATATTACTTTAAAGACACCTAAGATATTTAGGAGCTCTGGTAGCATAGTGGCTAAGGTACTTGACTGCTAACCAGATGGCTGGCGGTTCAAACCCACCAGCCACTCCTTGGAAGATGGGGCAATCTACTTCCGTAGTGATACTGCCTCAGAAACCCAAGGAGGGGTCGCTATAAGTCGAGTCCGACTTGACGGCACATAACAACAACAACAAAGATATATCAGGAACCAGTGCATTATATTTTGCATTTTTTTATGTAAATATTTCATCTTAGTTTTCTATGAAAACTGTCATTAGCCTGCAAAGCTACAACCAAAATACGTATATATACCTTTTTATACTTCATAAGCTTAATGTTAATTTTTGCCAAATATTGTGCAATTCTTGAAATAATTACCTGACTACCTATTTGTTGTTGTTGTTGTTATGTGCCGTCGAGTCAAACCCGACTCATATCAACCCCTCCTTGGGTTTCCAAGGCAGTATCACTACGGAAGTAGGATTGCCCAACCTTCCTTCCGAGGAGTGGCTGGTGGGTTTGAACTGCCAACCCTCTGGTTAGCAGGCAAGTGTCTTAGCCACTATGCTACCAGAGCTCCCCTGACTACCTATAGAGATACAAAAAATACAACATTTACAGAAGATGTGTCATCAGAAGTATTTTAAGAATGATCAGAATTTACTGAAGTTTATTTAAATCTGATAGTATATTAACAATTTTCATTTTAAAAATTAGCTAAAGAGTTTGTTTAAAAAATAAGCTAAAATCCAATAAAATAAAATAATAAAATCTAACAAACTCTGCTGTAGTACTCTGTAAGTTTCAATTTAGGAAAACACTTGAATTTAACATTAAGCTTAACTCCAGGCAGAAACCAAGCAAGCGGTACATACTTTGGTCCCAAATATTATACTGTAGAATATTATGAGAATAAAATGGACCTTATAAAAGTAAGTCATCTGATAAAACTAAAGTATCCATCATATATATAATTCTCTATTGATGAAAAGATGCTTTAAGGTTAAATGTTTAACTATTACAGAAAATTTTTTCCTTACTTTCTTCGTTCTTTTAGATAGGTCTCTACCATGTCAACAAAATCTTCAGGTGCTCTATAGCCATAACCTGGCATGTCCACCACTGTAAAATATTTTCCAACTTTAAAAAAATTCATTTTCTTTGTGTGCCCCTGATAAAATAATAGAAAAATAAAAGGTGTCTTAAAATATGTCCTTTATGTATTCATGGCTCAAAATGTTTTCTCAAGCAATCAACAAATATTTATTAAAAGCCTAAGTATTCTGTATAAAATTCTACCTAAGCAGATGATAGTACAGTGAAAGAAGACAGAAGAGAATGGGGAGAGATAAGCTCAGATCATAATACTTCCTTCCAATTAATTTTATTTTATAAAATCTGCATGACTTAGGAAGAAATTCAGATTCCATATTAGAAAAATATAGACAAAATATTTTGGAATCTTTCTTGATTCATTAACTTTCTCTCTTGGTGAAAATATTCCACATTTGGGAATACACCCATGACCATATATAAGTCTGGCAGACGATATTTCTACATACATATCTATATGTGCTATAAAAATACCCACATATATATATATGTAATAGAGTGAATGGGGGCAAAGTTATAACTTCTTAGCTACTACCAAACACCCTGAGGGAGTGAGTTGCTGGGCCTGTGGGCTCATGACCATGTTGCAGGGGACATCAAGCTCAATTGGCATAACATACTACACAAAAAAATTGTTCTACATTCTACTTGGTGAGTAGCAACTGGGACCTTAGGAGCTTGTGAGTGGCCATCTAAAGTGACTACCGCTCACTCCTTGTCTGGAGCAAAAAAGAGTTAAGAAAATCAAAGACACATGGAAACAATTAGTCCAAGGAATTAATGGACCAAGCAAACCTCAGCCTACATAACCCTGAGACCAGAAGAACTAGATGATGGTGCCAGCTATTACTGCCAACTACTTGGAAAGGGATCAGAATTGGCGATCCTGGGTAGACTGGGAGAATAATATCAAACAAAACACAAAGTCATAAAAAAAGACCAGGCTTACTGGTCTGTTGGAGACTGATGAAACCCCCAGAATATGGCCCCTAGTCACCCTTTAGCCCTGGAATTGAACTCACTCCTATGGCTTAACCTTCAGCCTAACAATAAACAGGCCTACGTGGTAAACAATTCCACCAGGGAGAAAGCTCTGAAGACAGGAATGCACAGGCAAGGACACAGGGAAGAAAAAGTGGGAAGACAGCTGTTACATTGTGAGGCTTGTAATCAATGTCATAAAAAAAAGTGTGTATGAACTGTTGAATGGAAAACGAATTTGCTCTGTAAACTTTAACCATATCACAATGTTGTTGTTGTTGTTGTTAGTGCCGTCGAGTCGTTTACGACCCATAGCGACCCCATGCACAGCAGAACGAAACACTGCCCGATCCCATGCCAGCCCCACAATCCCTGCTATACTTGAGCCCATCATCGCAGCCACCG